AAGTATCGTGGCCTGAGAGATCTTATAAGGTGAGAGAGGTTGGAACCTTTCAGACCACAAACAAGTCCGATAGCGCGCGAAAAAAGTATCGTGGCGTGAGAAATTCGAACTCTCGCGGGCATAACCCATCCACTTAGGAAGCACACGACTTAACCACTCGGCCATAGCCACCCATTTGAGAGACGAGGGTCTCGGTCTCAAAAAACTATATATCCTTTTGGACGTCCATTGAACCGCACGTACACGGCCCCAGCCTTGCAGAAAGACTTTTGTCGCCACAAGCAAAAACTCGGAGGGGCCGCGCGGCGTGGGGCGCAGTTGCAAGGAAAAAAAAAAAAAAGGGGAAAGTTTTGATATGACCCTGAAAGTTCAATTAATTTGCACGGTGCCCCTCTGACGGCCGACTTACCCTGCTGTGCCCCTGGGGCCTCTGAGCTCTCCTGCAGGCCCCTCTCTGTGAGGGTAGCAACTTTCCAGCATGCCCCCGTGGCCGTCGGTGGCACACGCGATCTTTCCCCTGGCTCTGGGAGGGGAGCTACCGGGGCATACTAGAAACTTGGAGCCGGTACAGGTTGGGGTATATTGAACATATTTCAGGCCCAAACGACACCAGGGGTTTTTCAGAAATTTCAATCTCTGTCAGAGGGGCGCTGCAGGGTAAGTAGGCCGTTAGAGGGGCACGCTGCAAATAAATGGAACTTCGAGGGGCATATCAAAGCTTTTCCCCAAAAAAAAAGATGTGGTGCGTGCTTCATGCTGACACTGCGGCCAAACGTGTGGTGGTGTACTGGTGCGGAGAAGATTAGCATGACCCCTCACTGCGTGTCCACCTCATATGGCCTTTCGCCTTTTACTACAGTTTTTGGAAGCTGCCTTCTCCTCATATAGAGGACAGCCGTATATTTTTCTCTCACCTCACATATTTTTTAACTGGCGTTCTGCCATGTCATGGTACTTATCTTTTGATGATCTGCAGTAGGTGAGCCCTAGCTGAACTGCGCTAGCGCTACTGTCGCTCCCCGATGCCGGCGCACCGGTAGGGTCCGGTCGCCCCCGCTCGCCTGGTGACTGGGGAGGACAGCTCCCCGGCTGCTGGGCCTGTGCACGTGCCCAATAAATGTGTGTGGTGTGCTGCCGCGTGGCACCTATTGTCTGGTGACGTGGATGTCCCGTGACACGTGAGCAGGGGTAGCGCCAGCCGTGGGATTGACAAGTGGTTCGGAGGAACCGTGTGTGTGGCGCAGCTGAGTGGGCGAGAGATGGATTTGGTGGGGGAGCTACAACATCGAGTGGAGGAACGGCTCATCATACTGGAGGAGGGATGCAATCAGTTGCGGACGATAGTTGGAGTGCTTACGATGCGGCAGCAGGAGGGGGAGGAGATCGACGGGGGGAGATCTCCATGGATCAGTGGTTAGAAGATAGGACCCAGGAGATGCTTGACATCATGTGGGAGCTGGAGGAGGGGTCGGATGCCCGGCTCAACGCTTACATCGACTGGAGGTGGGCGGAGGATAGGATGTGTGCTTGCAAAACCCGGCGCAATCTTCATAATCAGCTGGAGACTCGAAAAGGAAAGGGCGAGATGGGTGACAAGGGAAGCGGAACGCCTGGGTGGAGGATGGTGGGGAGGCTGGCGAAGAGTATTGCGGCAAGAACACTCACAACAGCAAGAACATCAACAACATCAATGGCAATGATGACGATGACAACAACAACAACAACAACAACAACAACAACAACAACAATGATGATGATGACGACGATCATGGCAGCAGCAGGGCAGAGAGTGGTGTCCGTGCATCCGAGGTCATCATCAGGATAATGGGCGAGAACATCAACATCAACATCAACA